AATGTAATTTGTTTGAAACAAAATTTATTCAATAGGATCTAAATTTTTTTTGGTAGACTTTNGTATACGGTTGTATATATGATTGTATGTGTTTAGATTGTTTGTATGTATGTATGTATGTATGTATGTATGTATGTATATATGTATGTATGTATGTATGTATGTGTGCTTGTATTTTTGTTTGTATGTACTTTGTATGTATGCGTTTATGTTTGTATGTATGTATGTAAGTTTGTATGAACGCTTAAGTCTTTTTAGGAACAGTGAGGGACCTTTCAACCCAATGTGCCACATGAAATATGATTTAAGTGACAACAAGTTTTGCTTATGTTTTTCTTGTTTGTTTTGCTTTGTTTGTTTTGTTTGCTCTTTGTTTTTATGTTTTTGTATTTTATGTTTGTTTGCAAGAAATCTGCATATTTTTATTTCGTTATTGTATGAATGTATGTGTTTCATATGTACGTACGTGTGTGTGTGTGTTGTGTGTGTGTGTGTGTGTGTAGGTGCGCCAGTGAATTTGTAAATGTGTGAATATGTGTGTGTATGAGTAGGTGGGTGTCTTAAAACAGTTTCACGGCAGCAAGCATACACGCATACACGCATAGTTATCAAAACATTCGCATACATAAATACACTCTCATTCATACATAGAAAAAAAAAACACAAACACACACAAACATAAATGCATGGAAAAACATAAACATACATAAACAAACATAGGAAAAACATAAACATATACACACACACAAACATACAAACATACACACGTGCCATGTTGTTCTGCTGTTCATGTTCTCAAAATGCTGGTCGTGGAAATAAACAATTTCGCACTTGAATGCACAGAGTGAGACAGAGAGGAAAAGAGAGAGTGAGAAGGAGAAAAAAAGAGAGGGAGGGAGAAGAAAAAAAGATATATATATATATAGCGAGAAAGAGAGAGAGATAAAAAAAATTAGAGGAATTATGGCAAAAAAGCCGAAATAGCCTAGAAACTAGAAAAAACAGAAAACGAACAAAGTTGAAAAAAAATTAGTTGCGGCCATAAAGTGAGTAAGAATCCGACAATGAAGATGACAGTGATGACGCAACGATGGTGATGGTGGTGGTGTTATTATTGAAGGAAATAGTGAATAAGTTGACAGTGTTGATTCCAAATATACATACATATACACACACACTTAACACACACACATACACACAGATACACAGACATATGAACAAACAAACAAAAAAACATTATATGGAATTGTGCTACAGTTTACAGAAACATGATAATCTCTTCTAGGTACAACTTCTGATTAGTTTAATCAGCAAAAATACGCAATCACAACTTAATACCGAAAAAAAAATTTTGAAAAAAAATCTTAAATTTAAGCAAAAATACAAAAATTATGATAAAAAGTAAATGAAAATAAAAATTTACTACCACAAAAACAAATTTCAACGTCGTAAACCAATCTTTACTGTAAAAAAAACTGTTTGAAAAAGAGAAAAAAACATATTAAGAAAAACACTGATATACTGGACAGTATTTTTAAAGAAACAGATACAATTATGTCCTATAAACAAATAATGAATACGTACATAAATACATACAAACATACATACATACATACATGCATACATACATGTATACATACATACATACATACACTAATACCTTGGAGAGCCGGTAGATATTTGGCGTGGGATGTTACGGTCCCTGGCACCCTTGCCGAACGATATGTAAACCTGACAAGTAAAGAATGCGGTTTGGGCAGGGCAGCGGACGAGAAAATGAAAAAATATGGAAATGCCCTCCCCTCGATGGAATTTTTGCCAATATGTATCGAGGTTCTCGGCCCGATGGACCCCAACACCCTTAAATTTTTTAAGGCAATATGTAAAATGGTCAGCGTCAGATCAGGCGACAGCAGGGAACTGTTTTTCGCAACTAACCACATTTCGTGCTTGTTGCATACATACGTACATACATACATAAATACATGAACACACACACACACTTACATACACTTACATACATACAACTTTTATTAAAAAAGTTTAAAAAAAAATTCAACATGTTGCCAAGAAATATGCAGTTAAACAACTTGACAAAGTATCATATCCTTATATAAAACAAAACAAAATAAAAAAAATTTTTACCCCGAGTTATCGAACATAAAAAGTAATTACATTCAACTGTGTGACAAACATAAAATCGTCATGAAAAATAAAACAAAAACAGAAAAAATAATAAATACTAAATACAAAAACAGAAAAAAACAAAATTAATTGATGCAAAACAGAAGATTCTTATCTGATTTTGTGTATATACGTAAGTGTAATTGTATATTTGTTTGTTTGTATGTGTGTATATGTATTTATTTTTTCATTCATATGTTCTCTAAACATGTTGAATAAAAACACTGTCTTGCTCAATTGAGCATATGTTTTGTTAAAGACAAACAACTTGCCTGTATGTATGTATGTATAAGTGGATGTGTATTTGTATGTGTTTATGTATACATGTATGTATAATTATTTATGTGTGCGTGTATGTGTGTGTGCGTAGGTGTCGTAAACATTCTCAATTAAACTAGGGATTTTGTTTATTCGTGCTAATTTTAACTCATAAGTTATTTAGAGTTTTTTTTATAGAAGTTCAGTTCAGTTCGGCGATGACGTGTGTGTACGTGTGTACGTATTCATACGTGTGTGTAGATGTGTGTTTTGTATGTTTTTTAGTATGTGTTGTTTGTATTGGTTTGTATTTTGTAAACATGTTTGTATGCTTAAATAAACATTCCGATATCCGAACCATTAGCATAGCGTGTATCGATAAACGTTGTTTCACACGACATGATGACTTTAATGTGCGTGTATGTATGTGTGTACACTGGCAGGTATGAATGTGCGTATGCAATGTTTTTCTCTCTCTCACTCTTTCTTTCTCTTTTTCTCTTTCTTTACTTCTCTCTCTCCCTCTTTCTCTCTCTCTCTCTCTTCTCTGTTTCTCTCTCTCTCTCTCTCTCCCTCTCTCACTTTCCATGTATTCCCTTCTGAACGTTACAGAATTCTTGAACACAGATCATTACACATGAAATATATTGTTTGTATCAATATATGTTTATGTGTGTTTGTATGTTTGTTTGTATGTTTATATGTATTTATTTATGTATATATGTATGTATGTACGTATGTATGTATGTATGTATGTATGTATGTATCTATGTATGTATGTATGTATGTATCTATGTATGTATGTATGTATGTATGTATGTATGTATGTATGTATGTATGTATGTATGTATGTATGTATGTGTGTGTGTGTGTTTGTGTGTGTGTGTGTGTGTATGTGCGTGTGTGTGTGTG